ATACATAATAACATGAGGCGGGCTGTGATCCCCTTGTTCCTGCATAACAAGTCACAGAATTCCAATCAAACTTCAACTTACAGGTAAGTCTCGTTTAATTTTAGAATTCTATATCCTTGTTATGCTACGTCACAAGGAAATCACATGAGATTTTAAAGCCCAATGTTTGGGAGTGAAAACAGATAAACAAAGTGTATAAACAACAATGTAAATGCTGATAACATAAACTATACAAGCCTTAACATAGGCAATAGCTCAGAACAAAAATAATGTAAATGTACTGTGAAACTTTTTAAATAACTGTCTTTAGACCTGCTTCAGCAAAACTTGCCCCATTTTCAACAGGTTTGTTATAGAATGTCTGAAAAGTTGCACAATTAGACCGTCCTGCACTACTGAGTATCTCATCTATAGAAACTCCCGCTGCCTTAGCTGCCGAAGTAGATGTGATATATATAAGACAACCAGCATCGGTAAACTGTATATTCGTAATGTCCATTAGTTTTATTGTTTGTGTTCTTTGACCAGATAGCAATGCTATTAACATAACAAGTTTGTGAGCATGTTCTTTAATTAAGCGTGATTTTCTCAAGAGGATATAATGTCTTGAGGTAAGTCAACACTAGGTCAACATCCCATGTATAGTGTTATAGCAAACACCACGAAGAATCTGCAAACCAGGGGATGCTGCCGCATGGTAAGTAACTTGGTACTACTGGACAGTTCCGCTTCGCCAAGATTTGATGTAAGTAAAGTAGACGTTGCATTTTGGGCAAAATCTGTGGGTGGTTGACCAACATTTGCATTGCCACAGGGTACCACGGTTGTGTAGGCCACAGGGGTATTATCAGTATACCCTCTGCTGATTTCTCCTGGATCTTTTGCCAAACATCTGTTAACAGGCTAAAGGGAGGAAAAGCGTAAAAGCTTTTAGTAGCCCAGTTCATGCTGAAAGCATCAACTGCTACTGCCTTAGGATCTGGCTGCCAAGAGACATATTGCTCTAACTTCTTGTTAAGCCGGGATGCAAACAAGTCCACTTGGGTGTAAAATTTTTTGACACAGATCCTATCAAAAAACTTGATCATTTAATGCCCATTCTGTATGGACATCAAATTGCCTGGATTTTTTATCTGCTTCTACATTTGTGACACCTGGGATATGGGTTGCCGATACCCAGATGTTTTTCTGAATGCACCAAATCCCCATTTGTCTTACTATTGCATTGCATTCTGAGGACTGGTTTCCACCCATATTATTCACATAAGCTACAGCTGTGGTATTGTCAAGAGCAAAAAAGACTGCAATGCTAAAAAGGCTGCAATTGTTTCTAACACATTAATGTGTGCCTTAGCTTCGGTTTCTCCCCATGGACCTCCTGCATGCTTTCCATCACTATAGGCACCCCAGCCTAATAGTAATGCATCAGATTAAATTACCATATCTGGCTGGCTGGCCAGAACAGGTTTGGAGGATGTCTCATTATTGGATATCCACCACTGTAAATTAGCAAGAACATCTTGTGATAGGGTCATATATCCCTTTCTAAGGTCCAATAGAATAGCTGTGCAAAGGTCACGGCGGGGAAACTAGCCACCATAAGGCCAGTAACATGTGCACCCTCCTGAATTAAAGGTCTCCTCTTTGCTAACCAATTTATGCAAGCAGTTTGAAGCTTTGTGGCTCTTTCAGAGGTTAAAGAGACCGTCATGCCCTTTGTTGGACAGGAATGGTTACTGACTTGGTCTGATGGGGAATAAACCCCAATGAATCAAACATTGTGGTTGTGTCATGGACATTTGTCTTACAACCGTCAAAGTTGTCATCCTGCGAGTACGAGTCATCAATATACCCGAAGGAGATGTGCCCCTTATTCCGCAGTGATGCATAGACTGGCTTCAAGATTTTTGTACAAATACGTGGGGCTGAGGCCAGACCATTTGGCAGGCATGTATAATGATAAAATTGTCCTCGCCAAGAGAATTTTAGATACTTCCTGTGATTAGGGCATACTGGTACAGTATAGTATGCATCCTGCAAATCAATAGAGGCCATGAAGCAGCCCTGTTTCATCAAATGTATTGCAGTATAAATAGTGTCCATCTGAAAGTGATGGTATTCAACAAATTCATTTAACTTTTTCAAATTCAAAATTACTCTGAAGGTCCCATCTTTTTTCGGGCGAATAAAAATGGTAGAAATAAACTCCCCTGATCCTGGGTTAGCAGGCTCAATTACCGCTTTCATTAACTTGGCGATTTCATTATCAACAATGCACTCCTCAGAACTACTGAGAGTTAGCTCACTGCAATTGGAATGGTTTCATTAGAAACTCAATTTCCACTCCCTGTATTGCTTTTAAAATCCATTTGTCTGAAGTAAATTTTTGACCAAGCAGTCTGAAAATGTTTTAGCCCACCAGCTGTGAAGGGTGGTATAGTATCATCATTAAATGAATATATGGTGCTAACCTGTTTATCGAGTTTCACTGACTCTGTGGTTTGTAGTGGCTCTGGCCCCTTTTGTGTCGTGGGAGGTTGTTTTGGGGCCTGAACCTCCCCCGTCCATTTTTTGAATGCCAATTAAAGTTGTTTTGGTGAGCATAGCTGGGCCAACGAGTAGGTGTTGCAACCTTTTGGCTGACACGGTTTGTGGACGCAATGTCCTGTAGTGTCTTGGCCACATCATCCCCAAAAAGCAATGTTGTAATCGGCACATTATCGCCACAGATTTGCTGAAATTTTTCATTCAAATCAGGATTAATCAATGCTCATCGCCGGCTATTGCGCTCTACATTTGCATGAGCGACTAGGCTTACTGAGTCAAGAGCCAGCTTGATGATTTTTCCTTTATCAGTCGACCTATCATCCGATTGTCGACAATTTTCAAGGAGCTGAACTAATGGCAGTAGCCCTTTCAGCAAGAGGCTTTGTACTTTCTGGAGACGTATGTCCCGAGATCTGGTTGAAGATTGTAGTTGTGCCCAGATTTCTGGATTAACCCGAGTAGTTTCTGGTGATTCACAATTTTGTGGTCTAGGGTAAGCGTTTTGCTTTTCTTTAAGTTTTTCCTCGCTCAATTTTGAGCGCAGAGTTTTATTACTAACTTCGGCAAGCTTCTCGGACACATGAGGCCCCAACTGTTCTTCGTCCAGCTCTTGGACAACACTGTCCAAAATTGCGCCAAACTCCTTTTCATTGTCATTGCCAGAGTTTTCCCCCTGGGGCTGGGACTCGCCAAGCAACACAGCTACGTCGTCGTTCTGTTCATCCTCAAGCCTTGCCCGTTTAGGGCTGGTTGTATGGTCGCCGTCAGCCGAGGCCGGCGAGGAAGACCTTGATTTTTGGCGGGAGCGCTTGCCTCGTGATTTTTGTTGCATCAGATCTGTCAACAATTCGCCAAGCGAAGAAAAACCATCTTTAATGTTGCCCGATAGCTCCTCGAACTTCTCCATATTGGATTGACTCTCGTGCCGATCGCCAGAAGGACTTTCTTGTGCATGTGTGGCCTCATCGCCTTCGAGCAGTCGTGCATCATCTTCGATTTCGCCCTCGGAGTCGGCCATGTTGAGTCCCTGACGATTCCTGGTATATCGCACTGAATCCTCGAGCAAAACCACCAAATTATTGGTTCAAATTGCTCCGGAACAGTTGGTTTCGCTTTTAAGCGTTCTTTTGTAACGAATTCAATTAAAATTTTAAATATTTTTCAATAAATTTGGGCACAGAATTTTCTGTACCCTCACTGAACGCCGAATTAGGTACGCACTGAATGTTAGGTAATTGTCACGCAATCTCATGTGATTTCCTTGTGACGTAGCATAACAAGGAAATAGAATTAGGTTGCCAATCTCGTCAACCATAATTCAACGTTGAATCCACGTTAAAACAACGTTGAGATTGGTTCACAAATCGACGTCGTACATTTAACCATGAATTCAACGTCTGTTAGCTGCTGTTGAACCAATGTTTGTAAAACAACGTCAGAGCAACGTAGATATTAGGTTGTCGACGTCGCAACCTTTTTTCTACCAAATTTCAACGTTGAAACAACGTCGTGTGCCCGGTGGGATTGCTCTTGGTTACAGAAGCATAGAATAGAACAAAGATGTAACTAAACTTTAGAATTATCTACATGAGTGAATACTCTTGTACATAATGGGCGATTCCAGCTATAGACTACATTTTGATCAAGCCAAGAAGAACGAAATCCAACACCACAACTAGAAAGAGCGTCTTAGAATGAGTAAAACTGCAAAAGATTGATTGCTAATTGTTGTAAAATGAACAAAATATAGACCTGTCAAGTTCGCAAATTTTGTATATACTCTTCAAAAACTCTCATTAAAATAATTCATGAGAAAAACACAAGAAAAAATCGCAAGAGTGTCGTATCTTTATAACAACAATATGCTTTTCCCAAAGGGATAACATTTCCATTGGGACTGCCTATTGTTATTATATTGTGTTTGCCCCTTTTTCAATATGGCATTAGGTAATTACAAATCTGTCTATTTAGATGTTAATATCATGAGATAAAATGCATGCATTATGCCAATGATGAACCTAGGTGGCCAGTCAAAATATTGCATGTCAATAATTAACCTGAAGTTATACTGTAGTACTGTACAGCTTGGGTCGGAATTATTGCTAAAAGATCTTCACAATTTGTTTAGGTGACTTCCCAAGGAAAAAATTAGCACACCCTTCAATCGACAAAACATAAATGTTTGTTTTGATTCAGATACAATACCTCTAAATCTATTTTACCGAGTTGACATTGATTTTAGCAGGTGCAAAATATATTTATCCAACTCTCAAATTCAAGAACTACCGTACACTACTGTACTATATATACATGCATGTTTTCGGATCGTCGGATTTCACAGAAAAAATTGTTCGGATTTCGGATCTGGCGAATATTTTACAAGGATTTGCGGATCTTACTAATACAGCGGATTGCTGATTTATCTAATATTTTGGCTCGGATTATGGATTCAGCTTGCAATTAGCCTTTCTCACGCCGCCATTTTTGGGTGGCATTTCAGCCGAAGTCTGCGAGATAAGTCCACATAACAGCGACTTTTTATAATTTTTTGGACGAATGATGGTAACTTTGGCTTGAAGATATGACTTTTATCTTCTCGTGTTAAAAACAATATTTTCACCACTCGAAGATAAAAAGTCATATCTTCGCGCCGCCGTGTAATATCCTAGCCTCTATATATTTTTGTAGAAAGTGAGAGGTTTTCTGGATTTTATACTCTCTCCAAAATGTGTTTATTTATTTTGTAAATTTCAAGAGTTTGAAACACTCGAATATATTTTCCAAGAACATTTTAAGATGCCTCATTGCGAATAAAAATGGCGAAATAGGAATGACTTGAAATTACCGGTCGAAAACAAATTTTTTTATCTCTGCCGCCACAAAATATTCCCAGAATTTTAAAACATTTGCCCAAATGGAGGTCGCTGTATATGAGAAAAACATTATATAAGCATTGCAAGTTTTCTGCAAACTTCAGGTTTCGTAAAATGTTTTATCCACAAAATTTCGCTGTCTAATTGGCAGTTAAATCATCTTTAAATTAATTGCGAAGACTAGATTATTCATATTCTGATTATTTGAGTATTCTTTTGACAGCTATTCTTTGTTATTCTTTTAAATTTTCAATATTCTCTTAGCGAATAATTTAAACACTGAGACATACGCGTTTGCAATTATCATGGAATTGGCAGAAAAATCCACAATTTAAATCGGTCGGGTTAGTTCAGTTTTTGACGCAATAATACAAAAATATTTCCTTCGATACTTAAAGATCTAATCTTTATTAGGATGGGAAAATCATATCTATACATACCCAATACTTAACGCACAATAACATGGCACATTTTTTATTCACCCTGTATGTAATGAAATAATTTAAAGAAATGAACGCATTTTTATTTTCCTACGTTTTATTCGACGGCCCTTCGACTATATTTTAATCATGTAGGAATGGATGAAATTACAAGCATAACAGTGCCTTACCCTAGTTACAGCTACAGTCTTTCTTATAGTGACGATGATATGCGTATTAATATATGGAACAATATAAGTGTATAGTTCGTTGTATTCACGTTTACTATGACCAAGATATTGTTAGTGAGTTTCCTTCGAGCCTTACGTTTTTTGAAGAAGGGTTATTAATGCAGCTAGGATTCAACCCGTTGACATATTTTCATGCTTTTCAGAACTTTCAATCCTTCGGTACGTAACACCTTGTTTTCCAGTAAAAGATTGAACAGTTAAATGTACAATTCATCAAAGATATGGTCATAGTCCACATCCCTGCAAAGGTTCCATTATTCAAAGTATATGTTGTCTCTGGCGAGTTTATTCTTAATCCAATGTAGACGCACGCTGGAATGGATGACACCATAACCAAAACGACTACCAGCAAACAACTCGATATATTTTTCAAAGAAAACGTCTTTTTCATATCGGGAGATATTCTTTTGTTTTTTCGACTTTTCCTGACGACTAGAAACAGCTTGTAGTTGATAAATAACATTGTTGGAATGAAAAGAATAGCAGTAATTAGGCCATGTACGTGGAAGGAAATAACAAAGTCGTTTACAGACATCATTCTCAAAACTATTTCGACGATGATCAGTATTGCAAGAAGAGTTGAAAGTCTTCCATTCGTTACCGATGTTCGATGAAAATAGGATAAGATGTCACCAAATATTGATCGAAATTCAACACCAAAAAGAGTGAAATATGAAAAAATAAAGAAACTATTTGTCGATCCTACGGAAATATTAGCCCATCCAGCATTTCCATCCAACTTTCCCGTCAACCACGACATCGAGATAAAGGTCACCAATGGATTATCGGTTAAAACGGTAAGCAAATCGCAACAGGACAAAACCATGATCATGAAATAACATAATTTCTTTCGAAGTTGTATAGACCTCCAGAAACTGAGTATGACCAAGGAATTTAAACATATTCCTGAGAAAAAGAAGAATACGTTCGCATCAAATATGAATATCAGGTTGATAAACTAATAAGATTCCATCCTCGAGCGACTTCTTCTGAGGAATTAACGCGATTGAAACGCAACGGTTGAAAAGTTTATTATTATCACACCGGTTTTTAATTGATAACAATGACACACTTAAGTGCGGGTCAAACGAGAATAAAAGTTAATGAGAGTTGCCAATCACGATCGTTGCCAAAAATCAATTAGAATCATTACCTACCAAAGTGTGTATAAAAATCCTGGCACTAAGCAATGGAGAGCAACGCGCAAGAGTAGCATTTTCCCAACAAACACATTTTTCCCAACATCATTAGTGAACTGGAGGCACTTAACGTATATCATGCATAAATTATACAATGGACTTATTACGCATTCAATTTTATTCTGTCTTGCAAAGCAAAACAAACATTTTCTCATCCACTTTTTATTCAAATTTAGCAAAAATTTAGTTAATTTGTCCTTGGGTAAATTATTCAATAGTCGTATTCATTTTCCTACAACAACAGATGCTCGATATATACATGTTTGACTGTTAACTTATTTCCATAATCTTATCCTTCGTTACCTGACACCAACTTACATAATATGCCACGAACGAGAAGCCGTTGTGAGGAGAAATGAACATTTTTATATCATTTCATACACATGTATAGTTTTGTCGAAAGTGAGAAATTTTCTGGATTTTAGATTCTCTCCAAAATGTGTTTACTTTTTACACTCAAATATAATTTCAAGATGATTTGATGATATTTCATTGCGAATAAAAACGGCGAAATAGGAAGGACTTAAAATTATCGGTCGAAAACAAAATTTCTATCTCTGCTGCCGCAAAATATTCTCTGAATTTTTAAACTTTTGCCCAAATGGAGGTCGCTGTATATGAGAGAAACATTATATAGGCATTGCAAGTTTTCTGCAAACTTCAGGTTTCATAAAATGTTTTATCCACAAAATTTCGTTGTCTAATTGGCAGTTAAATCATCTTTAGATTAATTGCCAAGACTAGATTATTCTTATTCTGATTATTTGAGTATTCTTTTGACAGCTATTTCTTGTTATTCTTTTAAATTTTCAATATTCTCTCAGCGAATAATTTGAACACTGAGACATACGCGTTTGCAATTATCATGGAATTGGCAGAAAAATCGACAATTTTAAATCGGTCGTGTTATAGTTCAGTTTTTGACGCAATGATACAAAAATATCTCCTTCGATAGTTAAAGGTCTAATCTTTATTAGGATGGGAAAATCCATACATACCCAATACTTAACGCACAATAACATGGCAATTTTTTTATACACTCTGTATATAATGAAATAATTTAAAGAAATGAAAGTATTTTTATTTTCCTACGTTTAATTCGACTATATTTTAATCATGTTCAGGAATGGATGAAATTACAAGCATATAACAGTTTTTTTATATGCCCTATAGTTACAGCTACTGTCTTTCTTATAGTGATGATTCATGATATGCGTATTAATATATAGAACAATATAAGTGTATAGTTCGTTGTGTTCACGTTTACTATGACCAAGATATTGTTGGTGAGTTTCCATCGAGCCTTAAGTTTTTTGAAGAAGGGTTATTAATGCAGCTAGGATTCAACCCGTCGACATATTTTCAAGCTTTTCAGAACTTTCAATCCTTCGGTACGTAACACCTTGTTTTTCCAGTAAAAGATTAAACAGTTAAACGTATAATTCATCAAAGATATGGTTATAGTTCACATCCCTGCAAAGGTTGCATTATTCAAAGTATATGTTGTCTCTGGCGAGTTTATTCTTAATCCAATGTAGACGAACCCTGGAATGGAGACCACCGCAACACAAGCGACTACCAGCAAACAACTCGATATATTTTTCAAAGAAAACGTCTCTTTCATCTCGGGTGAAATTCTTTTGTTTTTTTCGACTTTTCCTGACGACTAGAAACAGCTTGTAGTTGATAAATAACATTGCTGGAATGAAAAGAATACCAGTAATTAGACCATGTACTTGGAAGGAAATAACAAAGTCGTTTACAGACATCACTCTCAAAACTATTTCGACGATGATCAGTATTGCAAGAAGAGCTAAGAGGCTGTCTCTGTAAAAACCGCCCGCTCGAATTGCATTTCAAACATGATCTTCGCTAAAACTCTGGCAACTGGAAGGCTTTACCAAACATAAAATAAAAACAGTCTCTGTTTGGTTGAAAACGATTTTCCAGTCGCGCTGCAAATAACGAAATATTTCCCCCCTTCAAAGCCTGTTGGGACGTCTCGAAAATTGAAAATTACGCATTTTTCATTGATCCGTAAAATATTATATTCGCGTCAACTAGCAATGAATTTTATATCATTTCACTCATGAAACTTTCTAGTTTTCTTGAAGAAGCGGAATTTTACCTAATATTAGTTGTAAAGGAAAAATTAAGCACAATGTAAACCCTACTTATCACTATAAATCAAAGAGTGGAAATGGCCTTGATTTAGATTCTATATTTCAAACTTTGGGACCTTGTCAATCGCTCGGGCCTATTTTTCAAGGAAGTATAGTCCTTTGTTCACAAATATATGCGAAAAACCTTGTACGATTTCAGTATTTCAAAAGTTATTGGCGTTTGTATCAACACACATGCGTGTATTTGCGATGAGTCGTCATATTGTAAAATCACTCTATCTCGTGCAGATTCTAACTTAAATGCAAAAATATGCAGCTTACCTCGTTACTAACTCAAGTTTATTTCTTTTTTAAGTCAATTTCCAATTCCTCACATAGCCGATCCCATCATTAAACACAATAGTACATGTCCTTCTCTTCCTCTTGATCTGTCCGACCTTGATTGTTTCAGGTTGTTTCGAAACATTACGTTGCTCACACTTCGCATATGTAAATATCCTTTCGAAACAGAATTTGTTCGAAAATGTTATGGAGCGATGAGTCGTCATATTGTAAAATCACTCAATATCGAGACATAAATACAACAATGTACAGTAGCTTCCCTGCTTTTAATAGTCAAGATTAATTACAACTTGTGTCGCGTGAGCAAAATGTACAAGCTTTGAACCGCTAATTATAGAACCACTTTGTTTACGACCTTTTCGGTAAGCAGGATAAACATAGGTGTACGGGAGGAAAAAAAATAGTGGGACGGACAATAGTTTGACCTATATTGAAGGAAATTTTCCAGGAAATTTGTCCGAGGGATGGGGGGAGACAAAATTTTCAAGATTTAATATGAAGACTTAGAATAACGAAATAAAAAAGGCTTCACACGGCTTTTAAAGGTAGGTTACAGTCGCATCTGCGCATGTGCTGGACTTTGTTTACGTTTTTTGTTTTGATCCACATTAATTATATAAGATGAAGGATATGACGAGTTCAAAGTAACATTCCACATAATTTGTGACCGAGGAGTGCAATGTTTTACAATACTTCGCTGCATTTCTTGTACATTTCTAAACTGGAAATTTTTGTACACAGTAACACAATCTTATACTGTAACTGTTTAACTGTAAACATCGTGAATAAAAAGGCCGCTTTGAACCTTGTGTGACTTGCTATATACAACAGCTGGGGCGGCGACCGAAATCCCGAAGGTGTGAGTTCGAATAATTTGTGTTTAGTGTTTACCTTTGGAGTTTGTGTCTAATCACGAAAATAGTTCATGTGGTATCAATCCTTCGAAACATGTTGCCAGAGTTGTTGTTGTCATTATGACAGAAGCACTTGGGGAAAGCTTTTCGCTTAACGAAATTCGAAACAAGTGTGATTGAGAATGTGGCTGCAGTTCTTGTCTTCGTGGCAAAGCCAAGGGCGAAATTTTTGACCGTGCAAAAGCTGGATAAACAGCTTTTGTTCAGGCTCGTGCGCGCTATGGAGATAATTTTGGATGCTGTTTTAATATAAACAACAGAAGAGTTCAATAGATTGACAGTGACGAAAGTACGAGACGCTAAGATTATATTCAACTTTTTTGTGCTATAAAAATGTATGTTTTGAAATTATGAACTGGAAGTATGAATTCATTAATATTACTCACATATTGACACTAAATGATGATATTCTTGTGACACTGAATGATCTAATATTAGCTTCAACAATTCTGGTGACCAGGTTACTTCATCATGTCTCTTCAAGACGGAGGACAATTGCTAAATATATGCTTGTTTCGCTCTATATCAGAGCTCATCAGAATGCCCAGGAAACACTGATGAAATTTTGATTTACATCGACGAATCTTTCTTTTTTAACAGATTTATTGGGTTATATGGTTACCGTAATATATAGCTATGATATATAGCTATATATATTCACTATTCTCAAGGGGCATATAAAGGCTATAAATAAAGCCCAGGAGTCATGTTTGTGCTTTACCCCTTGGAGTTCTCCTTTAAAGTCTGTATATATTTATATATATATATATAAATATATACAGACTTTAAAGGAGAACTCCAAGGGGTAAAGCACAAACATGACTCCTGGGCTTTATTTATAGCCTTTATATGCCCCTTGAGAATAGTGAATATATATAGCTATATATCATCTGTGGATATCAGGATACTGCAAATTTCAGACCCTGTATATAAGAACCTGTTTAGGCCAACTTGGAAAAAATCTAGGTCCTTATTCGCAGGGTTTTACTGTGTTGTCCAATTTTGTCCCAAAACAGACCATGCACGGCAGCCTGTTCTGGCAACATAGATAATGTGATGGTGCCACTCTTTGTGACACAAAATCAGGCAATTTTATAGTACAATATGAACTGGCAGGTGTCTGGCACCTTAAAATCAGATTACTTTGTGTAGATGGGGCGCACAAGCCTTGGCTGGCAATCCATCTAGGAGAAAGAAAGCTCTGATTTCAAACCCCCAGACCCCACTTTTGGACAAGACATGTATAGTAACTATATCAGTCATGGTCATCTAAAAATGCCAGTATATATGCACTTATATAAAACTGTATAAACTGTAAAACTACACTTTATTTATCTCAATGACATTTTCAGGGTTCTGGAACATTTTCATTACTTTGTGAAGAGTTTATTCTCTTTGATTTTATACATTTTTAGATCTGACTGGTCTCCATGTGATAAAATAAGAACCTGAAATACTAGCCTAAAAAGATTGGGTGTCTAAATACTAAAAATTAGCCTGACAGGCCCTTATATAGTTTTTTATATGCAAGCTTTTACTTACAATTAGGATGGAAAATATACTAGTAATTATTAGTTGAGTTTGTTTACATCATATAAGTATTTGTGATCAAAATCTTTTATAATCTAAATGTCTTAGGGGTGTTTGCAAGCCAGCCCGGTTACCTGAGCTATAGGCGGCTTTGCCTAGCTAATTTCATCATGTAGCAGGCTGGCACCAAAACAAATCATCGCGAGAAACTGTCATGGTTATGACCGTCACAACTGTTCACAGAGGCATTAATTTATAAAATTATAGATCAAAAATCTGTTGAGAAAGTCTTATTTACTACAATTAGTACAATATATTCGTATTCAGCGGCTTATAGGCAAACCAGCCAACCTAGGCGAGATCTGGGGATCTGTCGGCTTCACAAATTAAACAACATCTCGCTTAGGCAAGCCAGCCTGGTTCTCATATACACACAATACGAATATTAGTATAAATTATCTAGCAACATTAGATCTCGGCCAAGCGAGCTAGCTCAGGCACCCGAGCTGGCTTGCCTCCATATAAACACGCCATTAGGTCAAGTACTGTAACTTCATAGCAACTAAAAGGCATTTAAACTGTTATGTGCTTTGATCAAATTAAAATCATTTTGTAGATGGAAATTTCCAGTGTAAATTTTATACATTGAATAATATTGAATGTAAAGAATTTATAAAATATTTAGGTGTTATAGTGGATGGTAATCTCACATGGAAATACCACATTGACAACATTGCATCCAAAATAAGCAAAACAATTGGTATAATTACAAGGCTTAGATATTTTGTACCTCTGTCTACCTTACAAAACATTTATCGATGTTTAATCTTACCTTATATAACATATGGTATAGCTGTTTGGGGTCAAGCGGCAAAAAAATATTTGAATAAGATACTTATTCTCCAAAAACGAGCAATACGTCTAATGTACATGCTATACCACTTTTTATTCATTCCAATATACTTCCTTTAAATATGATTTACATTAAAACAATTTGCAATTTAATGTTTGACGTCTCAAATAGCTCTTGTCCATCTTCAATCTCCGATTGTTTTATCCAATCAAAAGAAGTCCATACTTATAACACTAGACATTGTGTATCCAATAATTTTTATGTGTTAAAGGTGTTAAAATTTGGAATAGTATTCCCACTGATGTTCGAGAGCTGGGTAGAAAAAATTTCAATTTGAAAATTCATAAAAGTCTTTTAACCATATTTGAGAATGAGGACGATTATGCTGATGTGCCCACATTAATTAGATATATGAGTAAGCATGGAAAATAGTACATCCTTCGAAATTAATAGGAAATTAATAGGGAATTAATTCTTCTTTGTGAAAATGATGCTTTGTGCTGTCAGTATACTGCGCCACTTTATATTATAACCGAGCATATCTTATAATTCTTATTTAATCTCATTCTACTATCCGCCCCGATTAGCCTTGCTATTAGCGGATAGTATTGTATATACAGACTGTTTATGTATTTATTAATAAAATTTGATTTGATTTGATTTGATTTGATGAACTATCCAGGTGGACTCTGCAGCTCAGTTGGTTAGAGCGCTGCACCGGAATCACAGGACCACAGGTTAGATTCCTGTCAGAGGGTCTATATACAGTTGCATTTTTCACAACTGCTCCTGGTTGCCTCTTAATAAATGTATAAAATTTACACTCAAAATTTTCGTATTATTATCGTATGAATTTCAAACGCGCAATGCTAAAAGCTTTACTAATTTTTATAATTTATCAGTGCCTTTTTTAACTATATATCTGGGGGGGGGATTGCCCCCCCAGGGAAAGAATTTGCCCCCCCCCCCAGTAAAGCCATTTCTGCCCCCGAAGTGCGAAGCAGAATTGCTCATGATTGCTGTCAGAATTGCAGTTGATTTACTTGATAATGAGATGGGATGACGTGACGCGTCGTTGCGCGAAGGCGCAAGCCAAAGGGCAGTTAATACAGTTTTATTTCCGCTGTATTTGCAAGATTTGGACGCGAAATTACACTTAATACAGGATAAAGTAAAAATTTACCTGTAAAAAGTTAAGAGCTGTTAATCAGGTACAAGATAAAGTATATTTTGCGAATATAAATTGTTTGAAATTACAGTTCGTGAGAAACTTTTGTTGAAACAGTTTAAATTGATCACATCACGCAAGCAAACGACGCACGTCAGGTGCACGCGACATTACTTACGTCAGCGCGAGAACGTTTTCATTCTAATCTGCACGTGCAAGCTCAATTAGAACTCACTCATCTTTGAAAATTGGAAAATCTCACGGATTATATATTTATTTGAATATTTTCAACGTTATGAAGAATTATGGACGATTTGCGTGTTTTTTCAACTATATAAGAGACGGTGTAAAATCCTTCATGCTTTGTGTGTTTATTCTTTGGCTGTGTTCTAAATCAAAACCTTATAATCCTCCTCGCAGAAATGCTAAAGACATAGTTATCAACTCAGAACTTGCAGTTTTACCGGAAAAATTATGTATAATTTGGACTGCTACTCGTGATCTCAAGCAAAGGAAGTTTTACTATCCGCTGAACTATCGTTACGGACTAAATCTTCAAGTGAATCAAAAGCTATCTCACGTTGTCTTATTAATTTTGCTGGCTGGTGATGTAGCAACTAATCCTGGCCCTGTGTTTGAAATCCCTGGTTGTTTAAAAAGGGGACTCAAAGCGAGTCATCTTAATGTACGAAGTTTACTTCCGAAGATTGATTTTGGTACGTTTGTTTATCAGCAAGAATCCATTTGACGTTTTTACCATTTCTGAAACTTGGCTTAAACCTTCAATCACTAATGCTGAAACAACATACCTAACTATCTAATCACTCGTCAAGATCGGAAAGATAAAGCTGGTGGTGGGACAGCTATTTATGTTAGGGAAGGTTTACCTTACCGAACTC